TTTTATAGGAACTGCCGCCCTAGGTTTTATAAGGGCCAGGCCCTGCCTCCTACAGGCAGCTGATTCACATTAGTTGCCCCAGCAACCCACACCTGTACTCCCTAATCATCACTAGGGCTCCTTATGCACTGCCAGAGCTTCTCCCCTGCCAGTTTTCCCCTCTCTAGGAGTGGGGCAGCGAGGTGCGCCGCGACAATAGTGCATTAGCAGGTGCATCACAAACAGGTCCAGGGAGGTGATACTTCCCCTCTATGCAGCACTGGTGAGGCCGCAGCTGGAGTACTGTGTCCAGTTTTGGGTGCCGCACTTCAAGAGAGATGTGGATAACCTTGAGAGAGTCCAAAGGAGGGTCACTCATATGGTTGGGAGCCTGAAGGTAAGGCCCTACGAGAAGAGATTGAGGGACCTGAATCTCTTCAGCCTCTGCAAGAGAAGGCTGAGAGGGGATCTTGTGGTCACCTACAAATTCACCATGGGGGGACAGGAAAGGGATAGGAGATGCTCTGCTTACCAGGGCACCCATGGGAGTAACTAGAAATAATGGCCACTTAACTAGAAATAATGGCCAATTAAGACAGAGAGCAGATTCAGGTTAGACATCAGGAAGAACTTCTTTACTGTAAGGGTTGCCAAAAATCTTGAATGGGCTTCCAAGGGAGGTGGTGCTCTCCCCACCTTAGGGGTCTTTAAGAGGAGACTGGACAATCACCTGGCTGGGGTCATATGACCTCAGCGCTCTTTCCTGCCTGGGGCAGGAGTCGGACTCGATGATCTGCTGAGATCCCTTCCGAAATATTATAATATTTCATATATTTCATAGACACTAGGGCTGGAAGGGACCTTGGAAGATCATTGAGTCCAGCCCCCTGCCCCAAGGGCAGGAAGTCAGCTAGGGTCAAAGGATCTCAGCAAGATAAGTGTCCAAATGCTTCTTAAAGAAGTCCAGAGTAGGTGCTTGCACTACCTCTGGAGGGAGTCTATTCCAGGCCTTAGGGACTTGGACAGTAAAGAAGTTTTTCCTTATGTCCAGCCTAAAACAGTCTTGGAGGAGTTTGTGACCGTAAATATCTATGAATCTATACCACTCTACCTGATGACGTGCGATAGTCTGATGTTTTATAATGCTTTACCAATATTTTACATACTCTGAACACAACATGCACCAGTCCATGTAACTAATATATCATTCATTAAACATGGCTTCAAAACAAGATGTTATCCTAAGCCACATTTAATGAATTATCAACCAAGCCCTTCTCTATCATAACAGAGGGGTTGAAAGGGACATAGTCTTCATCTTGTAGGCATGGAAAGTTTAGCTCAGTACTTTCAGATTGAATAAATCATTACAAACAAAAACTGCAAAAAGTTTAACAATACTTTAAAAACAAACAAGCAACCTCTTCCCTCCAATCTCCTGAAGTAAATGGAGAGGATTAGTTAGTATTCAGAAAGGGTTCTTCCATGTTACAAATTAACTGGATACATTTGCCTAAGGTGTAAAGAGGTGGAACATGACCGTACATCCAGCTTATGAGAAGTTCTGGCCCAGATAAAAGATATTAAGAGCCAGGTGTCTGATCACCTTTGGGATGCAACTACACAAGATGCTAAATGTGCAGTAAACTAATTCTACTGCACATTGCTTGGCAGGAAAAAACTGTGCTAATGTAGAGAAGAATTAGTCTACTATGCATTAGTGTCATACAAAAGCATGCACTGGCACTACTGCACAACTGCACAGTAGCACCAGTTATGGTGCATTAAGATGGTACTTGTTTTTACAGGTACTAAGCATAATGCGCCATAGTTACAGTGCATTAATGAACATGTAGACACACCCATTATACCAGTATTAAAAACAAAAAGCATTAGGATATATTGACTAGACCAGGACTTCTTAATAGTGGTTCTGTTCAGCTGCAGTAAAAAGAGAAAGGAGGTTCAAAAGGTTATATAAGTTTGGAATGTTGTGGAGACAACTGCTGAAAAATACAAGCAATACAGAAGCTTAACGCAACATAAGATCTCCTGTGATCCGACTTGTGAAAGCAAACACTCACTTTGGTTTTGAAGCCTGAAGAGTGAAATGCATCTCTTCCTGTGTCAAAATAAATTAGACACACTTCAATTTGTAAGAAATATCTTATAATTAGAGGGTAAAATTAGAGGGTAACAAGTTTCAAGTGGGGGTGGCAGAATCATACAATAGCAGCAGACCATTTTCTTAGTCAGAGTTTGATTATACACAAGTGGGATTAGTGAATTTCATACTTGGAAACAGCCTTTGGGAATGCAGCAGAGGTTTTCCTGCCACCCAAATGAGCATCAAGTGTGTTTTCTCTTCTCTAGAATAAGGTTTGCTTGCTCCGAGTTTTAGAAATATGAGACTATTCATTCATTCTCCTGTACAGTAAACAGTCAGGCTTCTAAAGGAAGTTTAGTGTTCATTTTGTTAACACATGAAACAGTAAGTGGACCTCATAATCACTACTCAGGAACATAAAAAGATGAAAATCCAAGGCAAGAATATATTAAGAAGGTGGTACCATGAAAATACCAACCAGCTTAGAAGCACATGGCAAAAGGCTTGCTTAGAAGTGCCATCCTGCCTGAGGGCTCTCCTTAGATAACTTCAAGATGAAAAACAAACAAACAATCTCAGGGAAAAGGCACTGAATTTACACAATATCATCTCTAGCACCAGTGTCTGGGGATAGAGTAAACTGTGAAGAATCCCCAGGCTCCATTTGCAGTAGGATGTCATCCACAAGCTTCCTCCGGAGTTTGCTTTTGATTTCTAATATGAATACTCATGTCCTAAAGCAGGAGTGGATTTACAAATGTTAGGCCCAGTTTTGAGAGCCTCTCCAAGCTGGCTGCTGGGCTTGTTCAATTGGTTACTTTTAAATGATTCCTCTCTGCACAAGAATGTGTTCCTCCCTCTATGACTGTTCTGCCCCAGAGACTTTCCGATGTCTTAGCTAAATTGGCTATACTTCAATAGGGACAACCAGGTAAGTCAGTAGAGCAGTTCTACATTACATACAGGTTTATGAAATCTGAATCTCTCACATGACCCTATATAAATATATAGGACAAAGAGGGATTAATTTTGAAATCTTAGTAATTCCCATTAAATAACCATGCAGTTACCATACTTACTGTCCAACTTTCCATCTTCTAAGATCTGTAATTGTAACTCTTTTGATCTGGCATTTAATTCACTGTGAAACAAACAAAACTGTGTTAAGCCTTCATGGGCCTTATTTTATTTATCTTTTATTTATATGTTTTATTGTACATTCATTTTGAATTATCTGTCCCCCTCTGCTTCACACTAGAGTACAGTATGTCTCACTAGTACAACTCAAACCAGTCTCTGGGAAAGCTGAATAACAACATGTCAAGGACCTTACTGAGAACTTGCGTCTAGCACCACCTGACCTTAATTAGCTTGAGGAAAAGGGGGAAAAGTGAAGGAAGACTGAACTGGAAGACTGAAATTGGATCTCTTTAGCATTATCACTAGAGTTGGATTGCCTGAATGTTTCCATTAAAAATGGCCTTTATATAAACACTGCCTCAAGTGTTATTACACATGAACAAGAATCAGCAACCTGTAGGTATGACATGATCAGCATGACAAATTTTTGCTTCCTTACTGAAATGTATATTCCTTTATTCATTACCCTGCCTCCCCCCACAGTCAGTTAATGGACGTGAGGCATAATGGACATGTGTTGTGAAACTCCCTCTAAAGTTCATTCTATTCCTCCTGTGGTAAGTCCAAGTGCTCAAAAACATATATTTACATTATGCCTCTGTTTCAGCAGCACAAGATGTTCAGTTGCAGCTGTATCACCTCCATGTGAAGGCATTACTGACTTAAGCTCAGCGGGGTGGGGGTTGAACCACAGAGACTTCCAAGGAAGTCAAAGGGTGCAGCAGAAAGTCAAGTGGTGTTGGCTTGAAAAGTGCCACCAATATGATCCTGGGGCACCATCCCTGAAAGGGAGGAAAGAAGGCATACAACCAAATCCTAACCATTAAGGATCCATAACAACCTGGCTTGGGTCCAAAGTGAGATGGTGCTCTGGCCCAACTGCCACAGTGGTGGCTTTTCCTTCACATAGCTTCTCCTTACTTGGCCTGCTGCTGCTGCTGCTACCCATTTCCTCCCCCAAAAATGGAGGCCCTGGCACCACTCCTTGCCACTGACCCCCAACCCTAGTAAAAGTCCTGACCAGGGCTGGACCTGAGGCTCTGTGGGCTGGATGATGCCAACCCCTGCACCAGAACTTTCTTGCAAGCCTGTCTATCTTAGGCACTTCTAAAAGCATCCGTTACTATAAAGAGACCAATATCCCTAGTGTCACAGTCAAATTCCAGTTACATTAATCACATCCTGCTTGCTTGACCTTCCCCTGCACTTTCAATAGGAAAGGGTATTCTTTGAAACTTCCTGTCCTAAAATACTGGGTGATACAGCTGCTATGCTATGTTGAACAGACACTCTGTTCCACCAACAGGTGGTAGAAGTGGTTTGCAAATGCAGTAGATCTATTCTGGAGCTTTTCAGAATGTTTTATGAACTAGAGTGTTATACAAATATTGCCCACCACCTCTGTGCTATATCCAGCAGTGTGGTTGCAAAGAATCTTGTTGTTAAGCAAGAGGGTTTGAGCCTGGGGCTTTACAAAAAGGCTGCAGTCTTAAGGCTTCTCATCACTTAATCAGAAAACAGAACTATAAACTAACACAGGACTGAGGTGTCTGAAAAAGGGTGCTTCCTGGTTAATGAACTTTTATTAGACCTGACAGCAGGATGAGGAACAATCAGCTTGCACTGGACAAAGCTTCCATTTGAGCACATGGTAGAATAAGAGAGCTTTCAGAATTGCTTTATGATGCATGTTCAAAGGGCCAGATCCAAAAAGATAAATATATACCTCCAACTTCAAATTCCTCTCTGCTGTTAAATCATAGGCTTTTCTGCACATTTTAATGGGACCAGCTTTCTGCAAGTCCTATGCTACCTCAGACTATATGTCCTACCACTTCTCTTTCAAAAGACACAACTTATTGATAACTGCTGCTCTCTCTCTCAGCCCTATTGCCTCTTCTGTATGAACTCTGCAAATGGAGCTCAGGCAAGCAACCCTCACAACTGTAGACCTGTGCACTTCTATGGTCCTTTCCCCTTTACACTGCAGAACAGATCCTTACAGATTTCACTCCACACCACAAGCTGGGAGTGAAGCAGTCACTAATCCTCTTTTGCTAGATCTGTTCTTTGTACACTAGTCTCTTTTCCTTGGATAAGAGAAGAGTTAAACAACAAAGGTTGTGCACACTTTTAGATAGTTTAATATTCTTACTTTCTCATGCACCTATATTAGAAGCTATATTTCTATGCTCCCTGGTCCTGAAAATAAAAGTGATTTAGAAATCCACATCAACAGTTGCCATAAGACAGTACCAGCACAACACTTTGTCACTTGCTATTGTCCTATCAAATTTTTAGAGGACTTGGACAGAATATTTTTAAAGACATTATTCCTTCCCCTAAGTAGCAGGTCACTGCAGGATGTGCAAACATTTAATAGAAGCCACTATCTCAGTGCAAACTCACAAGATGAACTCCTCCTTCCAAGACAGGTTTGTGGCATTTTTGGTTACAGAACTGGAGAATTTCTGTGGAGGATCATTCAACTGACTTACACATATGAGGTTCAGGCTGCCTGTAATAGGGAAAGAGAAACACACAATAGTTGACTTCACCAGGAAGTATATTTGCTTAAAAGGTGTGCAAGACAGGCATCTTATATACTGTGCATTTTTATTGACCACTGGGAAAATGCTGCCTCCCCATGAAACTCTCCTTTCCTCCATTTATTTGCATTACGCTAATATCCAGACACTCCCGTCAAAACAGGGGCCTTACTATTCTACATGCAATATGAACATAATAGGAAACAATTCATGCCCTGATGAGCTTACATTCATTTTAGACAAGAAGTGAAAAATGTGGGTGAAGCAAAGCCTGGAGGGATGGGGAGAGGATGCGGGTAACAATAACAGGAAGTGCTATTATAAAGAGCATCTAAGTGGTTTGAGATATGCATTTTTAAGTGACCTGGAGTTCCTACTGACCATGTGCCAAGCAGAACTGCCAATGAATAATTGATGCAGACAATTTTTAAAAAATTAATCAGGCCAGTTGAGGGAATTGGTCTACTAATGCACAAATGTGTATGGGGGTTGTAGGAAAAAAGGTGTTTACTAGGTAAACTAGTGAATTTCCATGCAGGAATTGTTTGTATCAACAATGAATATTTGTATTTTTCAGAAACTATACAAGATAATGATTTTTTTGCATTCAGGTTCAGAAGTCACTGCTTTTCATCTTGGGATTCTGGACTATCCAGAAGAGTGGCAAGAAAACACATGCACATCTGCATTAAAATTTGTAGGCAGAAATAAAGTTACACGCTACTCTAGTTCTTCTGCCAATTATTTACATCAAATTGTTTAAGATGTGCATTACTTGAACCCTGTATATGAGAGATGATCCACGTAAACACAAAGAGTCTACTAGTGAACGTTAGCTTTTAAAATAATCCGTAGCATCTGACAAAGTAGGAGGTTGCCTATGAAAGCTCATACCTCTTTGAGCCAATTAGTGTCTAAGGCACCACCCTACCAACAAATCCTTATTAAGCCATTGTTATGGGTAGGTTAAAGTTCCTTTAAGGTTAAATTGGTTTAATTGAAGTAGAAAACAGAGAGGTAATTAGCTGTGTTAGTCTAAAGTCAGGGAGAAAGCAGGATACATTTGCACCTTACAGTCTAACTATAAAGCATATCAGAGATGTACTTTTGATTTAAGCAAATAAATTTAAATTAAAAAAAAATTAAAAAATACATTTTAAATGTAGATATATCAATCTATAAGGTAGAAATCTACCCTTCCTTAAGACTCCTAGAGAATTTAGCACTCCAAATACTACCTTGAAAAACTTCTTTGCAATAGGTTATCTAGGGCTTTCTCGCATCCTTCCCACCTCCAGAACAGAAGGATTACACAAACAACATGAAGCAGAAAATTAAAGCCACTATACCCCACTGCAAGAGGAGGATAAACATAGGTAGGGAGAGAGTGTAATTAACCAAACTGTAATTTGGCAAGACTTAACAACCATGAGCATACAAAATGCTCTGGGATCACTAGTGACAAGACATGACAGGACCTCAGTTTATCTCTCTCACAAAAACATTTAAGCAGGCAGGCTTGAGCTTGAAGAAGTTTAAATACTTGCAAGACAGGCTGAAAGCCTCCTCCTCAAACATACGCGGCACAACTGGTTTCAGAGGACAGTGACCTAGTTTTTGGTTTCACTCTACATTTGGCCCAAACCAATGTCAGCCACTCTCACAGCATGTCTTTATTCAGACAGGACATTTTACTGATGATTTTGCTCCTGGAGGGATCTCTCAGGATTTCTCAGTGTATAATAAAGCAGCTTCAGATCAAGCAACATGCAATTCAAGATCAGTGCTGTTTGGGTGAATCACAATATGATATAATAGTGTTTGTTGGTCTCTCCCTTTTTTATATAGCTAAACTGTCAGCTTTCTAGAACTAGAAAGTCAAACTCACTGACCATGTTTACAGGTTCATTTCATTGTTCTGCAGAGAAGAAAACAAGAATGATGGATTTGTTTACAAGAGAGTGGATGTATGAAGGTTAAACAAGAACCATATCTAATAATCATCTCAGTGTAATACCAAGTCACTTAATCATATACCAGAATGCAACAGCTTATGTTGGGTCAGTTTTTAAAACAGGATTGGCAACTGATTTAAGTAGTAAGTTTGAGAACTGCTTAGCAACGATGCATATGAAATGGCTCAAAAGGCTTCCCTGAAACTTTTTATTAAGATTTAGCTTTGCAGATTTTTAGAGCTGAAATAGGTCCACAGATTTCCATGAAAATTAGTTATTTCTGCTGGACCACTTCCAACCACTTCCCAGAAAATCTGCCTCCCTCAGTTGAGGTTCTCTGAGGGTTTTCCTTAGTTTTCCTACATGCCCAAATGGAAATATCACACCCACCCAACACATACTTAGAACTGCACACAAGTAGTCTACGTCCTTCTCTTCTCAGGCTGCCCTTGATAAATATGCTTAAGAACAGCCTCTGTATTCTCACATTAGCAACACTATCTTCTGCTCCTCCTTCCTGGTCTCAGGCAATGCAACTCTTGTTAAAGTCTCGTCATAAAGGAACCACTGCTGTCTCAGAACACCCCCTTAATTGGGAGGGAACGGAGGGCAATTTACCATGGTTTGCCAGGGTTATGGAAGGAGCCCACCACAATTTGCACAGTGTATAATACCCACTATTCTGGTCCCCAGGGCTGCTTATACATGTCCCAGGGGTTTACTTCGGTTTAATTCTCCCTAAATTGAAGCGGTAGGTGTTTAAAAACACCGCTTTGATTCATAGATTCATAGATGTTAGGGTCAGAAGGGACCTCAATAGATCATCGAGTCCGACCCCCTGCATAA